ATAAATTCTGGATATAAGTCCCTTATCTGATATGTTATTACCGAATACTTTTTCCCAGTCAGTGGCTTCCCTTTTTACCCTACTGGAGAAGTTTTTGGATTCCAGTTTCTCAAGTTATGTAAATCATTGCTCGTAAGTGCATAGTATTCCATCCTGTAAATGTACTATGATTTCTCAATCCATTCGATTGTAGTTGGACATTTGGGCTGTTTCTATGTTCTTGAAGTGGTGAATAACACTGCAAGAATAATACAGACATTGGTGTATATGTCTCTGTGCCTCAATTCTAATTTCCTTGGGGTACAATCTAGGCAGGAAATAGCTGGATCATATGCATCTTTATGTTCAGCTTTTAGAGGAAACAGCAAACTGCCTTTCAGAGTGATTGATTGTACCATTTTACAATCCCACCAACAGTGCATAAGAGTTCCTGTGTCTCCACATCCTCTTCAACATTTATTGCTTTCTGTCTTATTAATTTTTCCACTTCCACTGGGATGAAGTGGAAGCTTATTGTGGTTTTGATTTACATCTCTTATTGCCAGTCATTTTGAGAATTTCTTCATGTGTCTACTGGTCATCCGAATGTCTTCCTCTCTGAAAAGTCTTTTCATGTCTCTTGCCCATTTTATAATTAATTACCAGTTTTTTTTCTTGTGGAGGCCCTATATGATTCGGTAAACTTTTTTTTTCTTTTTTTGATTCGGTAAACTTTTGTTATGAGACCCTTGTATGAGATGGTATTGCCAAATACATTTTCCCAGTCAGTAGATTTTCTTTTCACTCTATTGGAAAAAGTTTTTGATGCACACAGGGATTTAATCTTTTAGAAGGTACCATTCATCAATTTTAACCTTTCGTAGTTGTGTATTTCTGGCTGTATTTGACAACCTCTTTATACCATACACAAGGCCTTCTAGCTTGTCTAAACTTGTCTAATGGCCTTTATAGTTTTAGGTTTTACCCCTAGGTCTCTGATCCCTCTTGAGTTGATTTTTTAGTATGGTGAAAGGTATGGATCCTGCTTCAGCTTTCTGCAGTCCAGTTTTGCCAGCACCATTTGTTGATCAGGTTGTTGTTTCCACATATGATAGGTTTTATTTTCTTGTCTAATATCATTTGACCATAGATAGATGGGTTAATTTCTGGGTTCTCGATTCTGTTCCGTTGGTCTACCCCTTTCATTGTACCAGTACCTTATTTTGGTAGTAGGTTTTGAGATCAAGGAGTGCTATGCCTCCCCACTTCATTCTTGTTTTTCAGAAGTGCTTTGCTTATTTGGGGTCTTTTTCTTCTCCAAGTAAACATGACAATTTCCCTTTTACTCTCCTTGAAAAATGAATTTGGTATCCGTAGTAGGGTTGTGTTGAACATGTAGATTGATTGCTTTTGGTTGGTTTGCAGTTTTCACTATAGTGAGTCTTCCTATCCGTGAAAAGAGAACATTTTTCCTTTTATTTAGGTCTTGTACTGAGGAGGACCTGAAGTGCTTGCTGCAGAAGGTCAAGGACTGCAGTCTTCAATATAGATTGAAGCTCAATATCAAGAAGACAAAGATTCTCACCACTGGGCCAACTGGCAGCATCAGTATGGATGGTGAAGAGATTAAGATAGTTAACAGTTTTAGTTTGCTTGGCTCCACAGTCAACACTCTTGGTAAGAGCAGCCAGGAAATCAGGAGATGAATTGCGTTGGGAAAGT